CAGGGCAATAAAGATTAGGCTAGAAACAACACCAGAATGTTTCCTTCCTGCCTTCCTTACAGGATTAGCCCTGTAAAGTGGGGAAAAAACAAAATTTCTTCCAACAACCAATTCTCCCAACTGCTTAGAAAGTTACGAACCGGTTCTCCCGAATAGGTGCGAGCCGGCTGAATCCCACCACTGATCCGGGGACTCCTTTATCTATATCAGGGGTGTCAAACTGGCAATGCGCGGGCTGGATGCATCTTGGCTCCTCAAAGGCAAAAAAGGTCCCCATACATCATGCGATGTCACGTGACACGATCAAGTTTGACATCCGTGTTCTATATACTACTGAAGCTCTTCATTTATCTATTTGTAACCTTCAAAAAGCTGCATCAAAAGGCAGCAATGTAAAAAATAATGTATCTCATATGGGCAAAGTTTAATAATGTGTCCTAAATTCAGTACATTACTTCTGTGGGACTGAAATTGTGGCCACTTCAACACTTCTATGTTGTTGAGCCAGTCATGTAATCATTATTTCCAAGGCTTCCCACAAGGGAAGTCAGAAGTTCCTCCTTGCCCATTGCATCTGGAATGGAAAAAAGTTGTGTATTGAAATTGCTTCTAGTTAACACGGTATTTCCCCCTATAATTACTTTATGTATTTTAATCAGATACTATGTAAAATTTCTTTGTATTCTTTATATTTATTTATCATGTTAGGCTTTAGTCTTTTCTTTAGACTAGGCTAATAGGGCACTTCATTCCTTTTAAATGTGGATTTGCTTGAGCTATGAGTTGAAATGTGGGATGTTAAATTTTATATATGTTAATTAATGATGCTATCTGTTGGACTTTTTGCTGTCTCGTGGATTGGAGAAGACCTTAGTTATTAGAGTTTTCTGTCGTTGAGAGATGGGTTATGAGATGAAGATATTTAGATCTGTTAATTAAGATGAGGGGGAAAGATAGTGAAATGGTTTATACTTGTCATAATGAGGGTGGAAAGTTGCTTCCTTAGGCTTTTAATAATCTTTTTCTTTCTTCTTTTGCTTTTGTGCATCTTTTTCTTTTTAGTTTGTATTATCTTTTACAATAAAAAACTTTTAATAAAATTATTTTAAAAATTGTAATTATTTTCCTGAAGGTTGCATAAACCAAAACGTGTTGTGGAATGTCTGCGTACCATCCCACGCAGAATTTCATTAGGTATTTTTTTTACAAACTGTATTATTTTAAGTCTTTTTTTACTTGGTGTTTTTTTTTTGTTACTAAAGATTCTAGTATGTTTTGTATTTTATCGAAGTGAGTCAATTATGATTTAGTAGCATATACAATTGCTGGTTTAGAGCCGAGGTGGCGCAGTGGTTAGAGTGCAGCACTGCAGGCTACTTCAGCTGACTGCTAGTTCGGCAGTTCGGCTGTTCAAATCTCACCGGCTCAGGGTTGACTCAGCCTTCCATCCTTCCGAGGTGGGTAAAATGAGGACCCGGATTGTTGTTGGGGGCAATATGCTGACTCTGTAAACCGCTTAGAGAGGGCTGAAAGCCCTATGAAGCGGTATATAAGTCTAACTGCTATTGCTATTGCTAAATAAATAACTTTTAGGAAGAACAAGCTGCTACTTACTAAGTGCCAATGCTAGCTGAAGACATTTGCTCCCTAAATTGGATCTCAAATGTCATCTCCTCTCTCAGCTCAGAACCAAAGCTTCTGGAGATTTGCTACATCATTTTGACACCAATTTCTCCTTATATCTCCCATCTGGATCAGGCTGCTTCATTTTTGCTGCATGATAGTTATGAACCTCAGAAGAATGTATCCAAAGCAAGCCATACATTTTCTTAGGTCTGAATCGATTTAGAAAAGGAAAGGTGTGAATTGCTATGGCTTTGAACATTTGAATAGTCTTGTATGCAATAATACACTTAGTGTACAATTAAAAACAACTCCAGGTGTAAACCAGCTTCAGATTGCCACCATCAGCTAACACAGAAAACAAAATATTCTTAAAATTAGGATAAAGTTCACTCCTCAGTTGTTCTTGCTAGGTATAATTACAGATTGTACAGACTAATTTGATTCTGAACTTAATAACAGCAGCAAGATTGTTGGTGGCGCAGTACTGGAAGAAGGAAGAATTATCTACTATTCAAGAATGGACGTTAAAAGTAGTAAACTTAGCAGAGATGGCCAAAATCTCAGCATATTTGAAGGACCATTCAGATGAGAAATACAAGCTGGAATGGAGAAGATGGATTGACTACACTCAAAATAAATATTGTACTAAGAAATTTCAATTAGCTTATGAATGAACAAGGAATGCTATAACTTATCTAAATTTAGCTTAATAAAAGGGGAGTTAAAGTACAAGAGGAAGCTATAGTTAGTTTGCTTATGCTAGTGTATGATTGTTAAATGTTTATACTCTGTATTTTGCTCTGGGAAGTTGGGGGGAGGGAGGGTTGGAAGGGGAGTAGGGTGGGGGCAGAGGGAGGGAAGGGGAAATATTTGTAAAATTTATTAAAACTTTTCAATAAAAAAAGAAAACAAAATCTCTGTTGCAGAGTAAATTGTTTAAAAAGCAAACCATTGAAAATAAAGACTTCCTTCAGTTGAACTCATCTAATGGGATAACATGGTTTGCCTCTACTGTATTCTGAAACAGTTTAGCCTGTAGCCCTGGGGTTTTCTAGTGATTTCCATTCTTGCTCTAATTAACCTGACCCTGCTTATTTATTTTTTTGAAATTAGGTAATGTTAGCTTACTCTACTTTAAGTATGAAGATTAAATGGTCCCACGTCATGTCTGACTCTAAGGGGTAATGCTCAGCTCCTTTTCTTACTCAAGGGAGACAACGTTGCTCAAAGACACTTCCATGGTCACGTGGCCAGCATGACTATAGATATTATTATATATTATATTATATTATACTATATTGTATTGTATTGTATTGTATTTATTGTATTGTATTGTATTGTATTATATTGTATTATATTGTATTATATTATT